ACGTACCTCCTCTCTCTCTCTCTCTCTCTCTCTCTCTCTCTCTCTCTCTAATTTTATATCCTCTAGAAATAGAAAAAAGTGCCGATGATTCAAGAACGCTTTCCAAAGCGTTTGTATGTTTTGTCATTTTCGGGAAAGGCAAATGACCGATTAATCGGTCGGTTCTTTTGTCCGCTTTGATTCGACCGGATTATGTGTGGATTTGGACGAAAACTGGATGGGATAACTCTCAAAACCCTTCGGCTCGGATTATTTCGTGCGAATTAAAAGAAATCCTCGGCATATCTTGTAAAGCTATTTGGTCAGATATTGAGTTATATTGCTGATACAATCTATCTGCAATCTATCGCGTTGTGCAGGACAGGTGTGATTCTTCGCCTCGTAATCCAAATACGTGTGTACGCAGTCGAGAAGCCAAAGGGAGTCCCGATTGTCGTTTCCCGATGGAATCCGGTTGATTGGGCACGGATTTTCGCGCGTTTCGTTGTTTTTCGCGTTTCCATCCTGACTCGCGCGTGCGGTTCTCTCACCCCAGTCGCGTTCGCGTCTGTCCGTCCGTCCGTCCGTCCTACAGCCCGCCCGCCCTCCCGCTCGTCCGTCTGTCCGTACGTACGTACATCCGCCGTCCGCTATTGATTCCGGGTTTCGTGCGGCCTTCTTCATAAGTGCGTTCGCGTTCAGCAAGTCCGGCCACGCTTGCCGGTTGGTATCATCCCGTTCTTCCTCTCGTTTCTCGCTTCACGATTTAATTGGCGCTAAGTGTCAAAAGGTTTGTTCTTTCTAACTGCTCTAATCCCCCATTTTTTTACGCTTCAAGCAAAATAAGCACGCATTCGAGCATCCGTGTGTGGCGAGAAAAGGGGGAGAGGAAGGTACGGATAGAACGCAAATTAAACGACAGCTAAATGGAATGAATCTAAAAATTGGTTGAATATTTTCTAATTGAATTTTGATACTCTGTACTGTTTGATACTCTTTCTTTTGTTTTGAGATTGTTTGGTTTATATTGTTCGAGACCGCTCAGATTCGAAATTAAAATTTCAAAGATATCGCAAAGATATATATGCCTGTATGTACATGGGAAAATATAGAGCAAATGATAGAAACGAGAAGAAATTATTTTCTATAACATAAAGGAAAGTAATAGCTACTTTTTTATGTCTATAAATTACACTTGTTTGAGATTCTATCTTCGTATATTTTTTCTAAAATTCCTGAAAAATATAATTTGCTCTGAAATTCGCTCAACCGAATATTGAACTTTTTCTGCGAATCTGAAATCGCCATCTTCTTCTAACAACCTCTCGAGCTTAGTCATTGATGTTTATGATGATATCAAGAGGATCAAAATCACGCGTAATTTTTTCTCATGATTGGAACTTGTAACAGTGTAACAAAAGCAGAATCCTGTTCCGGGATACATGCTAGACTACACATGAAAGTTCATGTATGAAAGTTCGTGATGAATGATCCGATCGATTACGCACTTTCGAGATAATAATTCTCAAAAGGAGCCACGCAATTTGCGATTCTGATTCACGATATCAACCGGAAATTGGAGATTTTTGCTAAAGTTCCATGACATCTGAAAAATAGATAGAAAATAATAAATAGATCTATTCTTGGTGGAATCAAATTATTCGATTTTTCAAAGAAGAATTGTGTTGCATTAAAATAGTTTATTCTAGGCCGCTCTGTTTGTAGTCACAATATTAAATATTATAATTATTAATACATTTCTTTATTATATAACTTATAATAAAAAAAAAAAAAATAAAGAATATACAATTTTTATGTTTACGGTTTTAAATTCACGTATGAAATATAGGATATGTATTTCTTTTTTAAATAGGCTGTTCGACTTCGTATATGATTACATCGACAAACAAGAAATGTGTTTCACTTCTTTCTTAATCAGTTGGCCCAGTTTCTCATGCGCATGGTATATATAAATTAATTTTTTTTTAACGATTTCTAAAATTTATCCCCGCCCACAATTGTGCAGCATCGAACCGAAGCTTTAACGAGAGCGTAGACACAATTTAACAGCTTAATTAACAGGCGCGCAATAATGATCCCCGATACGAGTACACGTGTCCTAGAACTTAACGTACATGTGACAGTAACTCTTCGAAATAAAGAGAGTAATGGCTAATGTTTATTTGAAAGAGATAATGTCGAGAGTCATTCTCAAAAGTTATACAAATGGACATAGTATTGAGAAGTATACTACAGAGTTACTTTCTTACTCGTACTTTTACTTTTTTACTCTCTTTACTTCCGAGAGTCATTCATAGATAGACCTCGAGAGAATACTTTGAAAGCATGATTCTCATTCGAACGATCTTGACAGTATTTTTCTCAAATCGACATAGGCAAGCTATAATTTTCAACGAGTTCGAGAGTTGAGAATAGCGGACAAACGCGCGTGCTAATATTTAATGTCCTTCGTTGCGAGTCCAGAATCCTTAATTAGATTGCTTTAATCCTCTTATAATTCGTCTATAATTGTACAACAAAAATAATTGATACAAAGGGAAACAGAGTTTTCCTAATGCGATATATAAACTATAGTCAGCAAAAATGAAACGCTTGAATATTTCTTTCGTTTTAAAAAAAAATATGCGGAAAAGAACTTACATTATTCTATTTAAAATATTCCAAGATATTCTTAACATTACATCATCGTACAAACTCCGATCGAGGGACGTGGCGTTTTCCAATTCCTCGCTATTATTTGCGCAGACTAATAAAAGTCCTTGCACAGAGCATTTTAACGATAAAGCTTTCGGGCGCGAAAGACCACCTGCCGAACGAGCGAGACCGCAATCGCGGTCGCAAGCTCGGAGCTTCTTTCC